AACTCTTTTCTGTTTCCCCGTCAGGCAATGAACACATCTGTCCAATCTAGCTTCCTTTACCCCTGAAAGCTTATTCTTCTTGGCAAGGTAATCAATCCCCTTCACACTCATGTGACCCAGTCGTTTATGCAACAATTCTGATGCACATTCTTTTGTTGCCACATTCACTGAATCACCAGAAATAGAGCTTTGCAAAGAGTACAAGTTAGAAAACTTGTTACCCCAGCTCGTGCAATAACCAGCGAGCCTTTAGTGATTTTCCAATGTCCATCACCAAAGAAACAACAGAAACCATCATCATCGAGTTTTCCTGTAGAAATGAGATTCAGTTTGATACCCGGTGCATGCTTTACATTTTTAAGTTCCAGCTTTGTGCCATTGCTGGTCTCAAGACAAACTGTACCGGTACCAAACACCTTCACCTGACCATCATCACCCATTCTTAGCTCTCCAAAGTCACCTAGAGTATATGAAGTAAAGAAATCCTTCCTTGGTGTAATATGGTAAGATGCGCCTGAATCCACAATCCAAGTTGTCTCATGACATGCAACGTTGATGGCATTCTCATCACAAGCAAGAAGTAAATCTGCTCTAACTGTTGCAACCTGGTTCTCTGTGTGATCATCGTTCTTGTCTTGCTTCTAGTCCCTTTTCAACTTGAAGCAATTTTTCTTGATGTGACCCTTCTTGCCACAATGATAACATTCAAGATCCTTGTGCCTTGACCTTGACTTACTTCTGCTTTTATATCTACCCTTTTGACCCCTTTGCTTGCTTCTCCCCCTATCGTCTGTAACCAAAATATCTGACTGAGAAGTGGAGGTGTCTCGAGATCTTCTTCTTGACTCTTCATTCAAGATACCACTCTTGACATTCTCCATGGTCACGACACCATTGGGAGCAGAGTTGGTGAAAGAAACCCGAAATGTTTCCCAAGAATCACGTAGAGTATTAAGCAACCAGAGACCAAGTACCTCATCCTCAAATTTGATGCCAATGCTAGACAACTGATCAAGGACACCCTGAAAATCATTGACATGATCATTGATCAATGTACCTTCCCTGTATTTCAGATTCATCAGCTGCTTTAACAAGAACAACTTATTGTTGCCTGTCTTGGAAGCATACAGGGTCTCAAGTTTATCCCATAGGCTCCTGGAATGTGTCTCATTGACAATGTGATTCAGAACATTGTCATCGACCCATTGTTGAATATAACTACAAACTTGTTAGTGCTCAAAGTCCCATTCCTCATCTGACATATTTTCTGGCCTTGTAGTTGCAAACACAGGTAGATGTAATTTCTTCACAAACAAGAGATCCTTCATCTTAGCTTTCCAAATGTGAAAATTTCTACCATTCAATCGCACCATATTTATTGTATTTGCCTCCATGTCAAGTATACCCGATCAACAACCAGGGCTCTAATACCACTTTGTTGGGAAAAAAAATTCCACTATCTGTGACAAATGAAAATCACAGAACCGACAAGAACACAAATACGAGATAGTACAAGATAGCCAAAATAATAACAAATATAAGGGACACACAATTTACGTGGAAAACCCCAAAACCACTGGAAAAACCACGGGACCACCACCACCAAAAAATTCCACTATAATAAATCTTGTGTACAAAGTTTCTGGCTACCACATGAGCTAAACATCCAAAATCATGAAATACACCAACACTAGGCCAAATACATATATTCTAATTCACAGGCTAAAAGAAATAATATCTTGTACCCAAAATATTCAACCACCACGAGCAAGGTGAACATAATACAAATATTACGAGATTACCCAAAAGATGCCTGGAATAAATACAAGTTGACCTCAAAATATTTGACGAAGATAATACCCAAGCAGTTTGGCAAACTCACGGCGATTTGTATCCAAAGAAGATGAAGATGGATGCACTACCGAACATGAAGAGATAAGAAAATTAATTTTTCTTCTTCCTCTTTCAAACCTGCCGAATGTGTATGTAGAATATTGTGGAAATTTGTAGAAGTTGTGTGGAATTCTCTCACTTGAAGAATGAGCACATCATCCCCTTTTTATAGATAGGTTCTTCCGACATAAGAGGGGAAAAGGGGGGAAGAAAGCAAGTGAAGAGAAATTATCTTCAAACCTCATCCCATCAACTTTTAATTTCCTTTCAACTTCAACCCAAACTCCTTTGCTCCAACTTCCACCCTTCAACTTCTACCCATATCCCATTCTCCCATGACAATTAAATAATTGTCAGAAACACTTCCTCAAGAAGCTATCAAATATTATAGTGAATATAAATTGGCTTGGTCCAAATTGAGCTATTTACCACATATGAGGGAAGCTCGATCCTAACATTCACATATGTATAGTTGCTTGCACTGCAATGATACTCCATACATTTTGTAGGGATAACGGTTTCCTATTGGTGAAAACATTGTCAATTAGCTTTGAAAGGCTTACTACCTATAATATGTTCTTAGTTTTTTCTGTATGCTTTATGAATAACTTTTTTATTTTTACATTTTTTTTTTGAAAAAACAGGCATCTTGTCGCAAGAATTTCTCGCTAGATGTTATGTTACTTGATGCCCATGACAGGCCTGCAAACAAAGAACTGGAGGTTTTACTTTTGAGTTTTATTCATTGTACAAGTTAAGCAAACTCCGAGTGTGAATGTATTTACACATGCATTTCTTACCATCAGGTATTTGCTTCACTTGTATATGCTGATTCTGAGGCACCCGTTGAGAAGCCGCCTGATGGTGAGGCTCCACTTCTTACAAGTTATGATGGACTTCAATTTGATTCATCTGATAGACCAAGAAAACTTGATTCAGGGCCGTGTTTCCTTCAACCTCAAGATATCTCAGGTATTGTGTATTTGCACTTCTATTAGTTTTGAGTATCCATTATTTGCTTTTTCTATTTATCTCAGCTCTCATCCAAGTCTGATAATAGGCTCTTCCGCATTAAGTTTGGCATTCAAAAAACGGGTAGATATCCTTTAATTGAGGCGTTGTCCATACCAATCCGATGTATATCTCGGAGCTGTACCTCAAGGTCATCTTTTGTAACAAGGAAAAAGTCGCCATCTTCTATCCATTTTTTAAATACATCTCAATCTCCTGGCACTACTGGAAATTATGGAATTTCCGACCACCTGAAAGTGATCTTAAATTTAGTCGAAAGCCTTGTTCCGACCACTTTTGGTATCCGGAAAAACCTTTGTTGCTATTTCCGACCACTTTTTGGTATCAACTTGATTTAAGATCACTTTCAGGTGGTCGGAAATTGCATAATTTCCAGTAGTGTGGGTTGGATGGTGGATTGCCCGAGGTTTCTGCATAACATTGTTCATGAAGCAAAGCAGAGCCCTTCATCAATGCGGGTCAAATTAGGGCAAGAGAAATCACTTGCAGTTTTCAAGGATGATTGTATATTGAAGGAAGCCGATGAGGAATCAAAATCTCATATGCTACTAATGAGGTAGCTATTAAATGTGTTATTTCTGCATTGCCTACCTCTAACAAGTAGTAGAACTTTCGATGATTTCACTAGTACAGATATGCAAATCCGCTACCCTTGTAAAGGGTTATCCGCTCCCCTTGTACAAGGGTAGCGGATTTGAGGGACGCTGAAAGCCTTGAGTTTTCTGCTACCCTTTCACAAGGGTAGCGGAAAGTTGAATATCCGCTACCCTTCTATATATAGAATGGTAGCGAATTTTCTTATTTTATTTAAGCATTCGCTGCGCTTTTTACAAAAGAAGGGTAGCGGATTGTTTTTTTTTTTTTTTTTAATTCATTATTATTTTTTATTTTTAATTGCTCAAATTTTTATAAAAATCCTATTTTCATACACTACATATCAAGATAATACTAACCATCAACACTATTATCAGCAAACTATCAAAAACAATATTATCAACACTCAACCAAATACTATCAATACAATACTTTATATCAATCCAATATAACATATAATCTAAAACAAAAGTTACACATACTCTTCCAAAAAATATTTTGCTCATAAGTCTCGAATCCCATCTATTTCATTGGTAGAGTACGAATTTCCTTCAAATACCTACAAAATAATTTAATTAATCAAATTACTAAATATGATCCTTACTGGCCTGATTATGTCTGATTGAGGAAGTTGATCCTTTCTGGCCTGCAAATGAGAAACAATGCAATTGTGATAGAATTTAGTGTTGAGTAACAAGGGGAGAAAGGCACCAAACAAGAAATATAATCTACATTTTGAATTAAAGATCAGTTGATGAGTGATGGGGAACCAGTTCAATTCATTTGCCACCTTAAATAATTATCGATCAGTACAAGGTAGCAACACCATTTCATTTCATTTGGCATGCAAATATAAAGTCATCTTCTCCAAACTCTTCTATATATATGTGATTCATCATCATCATATTCAGACCCCTAGATTTTGATTTATAAAAAACTAATGCAAAGTGTATACATGGTATTTATACAGAGTACCAGATTTTAGTAAAAATGAATAAATTAAAACAAATTATGCTCAATATGTTGAAATAGAAACAAGCACCAACCTTAGAGGAAATAGTAGGAAGCATAGAATAGCCTTTCTGCAAAAAGAACTACACTAATGGTACTTACCCTTTCAAAACGATGCAGAAGTGCAGTTTTAAATTGGCGTACACCACGTCCACTTGAGTTGATATAAGAAGGATGCATCTGAGAGTTGATTTGATGAAAGATGCACACTGTGCAACTCAAGAAATTAAAAAATATAGGGGGCAGATGAGCATAAAAACTGGATAAAGAATAACATAGAGATCCAATTTAGAAATAGTATGCTTGTGGCAAACCACACAAACAGCATTGAGGAATAACTCAAGACAAATAAAGAAAGGGATTAATGAAACTGACCCTGTATGGTGATTGCTTCTTCAATCTGTATAATCTCAGGTTCTATAGTGTGCAACCGTTCCAAGATCTCCGGAGTGCTCACAAAGCGAATAAATCTATTGAGCAGAAAAACCTGTTGCTGTATAATTCTGTTACGAAACACAAGTTCAGTGAGTTCATAGGATAACATTGATGCAGAAAAACTAGTATCTATAGGCTACAGGAACCACAATATCGAAAGGCAACTTAAATGATGAGAGAAATAAAAACCTTGATGATCTGCAGAGTGAGAAATGCAACCCAAACAAAGCAAAGAAGTCCAAATTCGGTCCAACAAACATTTTCTATTATAGAGACCTCCTACAATGGCAAAATATATTAGAGTTGAAAAAAAAAAAAAAACAAATGAGGCAGGATTATAACATTGCAGATAAAATACCTTATTTTCAGAAGCCTTGGTGTCATTTTGAGTTGCATTGCTGGGGCCACTAGGAAGAAGCTTGTAATCTCCTTGAGCACCACTCCCTGACAGATTACAACTTGAACACGTTATAATCGATTTTTATTTCTTTGCTTTTATGTGTCTGTACAGGCACAGAAATGTTTGATCTTGAGGGAAAAATGAGTTGCACTGAAAATGATACATAAAGCTAGGTAAAGTACCATTTGCTGCTAAGCGTTGGGAAACCTCCTGAATCCAAAGAAAAAGGGATAATCAGAAAACAGAATGTAATAAAAGCAAGCAATGAAGACCAATTTTATTGAACATACTGAATACACCCTAATGCAACATAGATTTTACCACCTAAGCATAGCAGCATAATATGAAGCAGTAGAATCAAGAATGTGAAATCCTTGTAAATAAAGCCAGAAGTCACTTAACTTAATCTTAGACCCAATCTAGCTGGAGTCCACTATACGGGTTCTATTTATCCATTTATCGATTTTTAACAATAACTCGATCAGTCAAAATATATGTTAAGTAATGGATCCATGTTAACCTTTTTCAAAATAGTTTCTTTCTTCCACGTCTCAACACCTCTTAAAAAGGCCTTAGTTGATGTGCCTGCATCGGCCAATAAAATTTATAAGCCTATTGGAGCAGATTTCATAATAAATAGAGAATGCAATAAATACTTTTACCTATGAAGAGAATAAGTAGCAGCACTGTGACCATCCAGTCAGCAAAGATCACATTGAATGTAACCCCAATACTAATGCCAAGCATTAGCATTGGCTGGATAAGCACTGCCAAATCATAGTCAATAATGGGCATGTCAAGGGTAGGATGCCTGAGCATAAGATTGTAGTGAACAGAAGAAACTGCTGCTCCCATGGTAACAGGGGTCAGAAACGAATTCTGATTAATAACCTTTACCATATGAGCATATTGTGGCCACAATCTAATAGTCAAGGGACCAAAATGGAATTAACTCTTTAGGCAAATCACTTGCCAACAGAAATTAGGCTCAGATTTGGTAATGGAGAAGCCATACCGCAATGGCTGCAGACCTGGAGGTCGCCCCGCCAAGATACTATTTTTGAAACAGGCAAAGCTTGCTCTAGCTAAGGTCACTCATCTACTCACTCTTCTGTAGCCTTTTTAATTTGTTTATGTTCAGTACTAAAGTGTCTACTACCAAGAGAAGAGTTTCTATGATATTCTGTAAATGCCATTGCTGCTGGATGTGTTAAGGGTTTTAGCCGAATAATTCTACTGTAATTATATAAAAAATAACAACAAAAAACAAATTAACCAAAAAAAAAACCTTACTTGATGGACGAAGCAGCGGCTGGAGCGGTGGATCGAAGCAGCGGCGGCGGATCGAAGTAGCGGTGGCGGATCGAACAAATTAACCAAAGAAACCTTACAATTGTTTCAAAACAGTAACAAACACCGTATAAAACATTCAAAACAAATGTGAACCATGAATAAATAATAAAATAAAGGATTATGCAATTAAATCACCAAAATCATGACCCTAAGCCTAACAAATATAGATAAATCAATACTAAAAATGTGCACAATTAGGCTCACATCAACTCCCCTACACTTAAGCTTTTGCTTGTCCTCAAGCAAACCCAAGAAATAAATTACAAGCCAAAACACACAAATTACTCCTGCTCTCTCTTGCAGAACCTTTCAAACCACCAACCAACTTGCTACAAAACAACAAGCTTCAATAATCAAATTAGTTTGGCACATAAGACCCAATCTCAAGCCAATAACCAAGCACCAAGAATTTAAAGTATGTGAGGATCAAGTGTGCACAAATACTCAGTTGAGATTATGCAAAACACGGCTCATGAGTGAGATCCCATAGGCTTGCCCTTCATACTCCCCTAGATCAATTCTAAGAATGCATGCTAAGATCAAATAGGACTTTATTTAGCTTGTAATCAGGCTGCGGGTGATGGCTAACAAAAAAGTGGTATGGAAAAATTAATCAAAAAGAGAGAATGTCACAATTATCAATATTTTCAAAATTGGAAGAGATGTGATAATCACAATTTCAAGGAGCAAATTTCTTTTAAGAACACAGCAACTCTTTGGAAAGTAGTCCAAACTCAAAATTTCCAATCTTTCTTTCTTTCATTCTTTTCTTTTCTTTTCTCTTCTTTTCTTTGATTCTTTTCTTTGGGTTTTCTTATGGATTCAGCAAGATAATTTTAATCCAATCAATCAATCAAAACCTCCACACTTGAACATTTGTGATATCAGTAGCTTTTTTGGCACAACTCCATAAAACTCTTCTTACAGAAATAATAAAGGTAAAAGTTCCATTCTCTCAAAGGGTGGAAGAGAAATATTTGGCCAAGGGCTAAGGGTTATAATAACGGGGGTAAATCAAAGAAAAATAATCACTATGAGTGATAAGTGCTTATTAGCACTTATTTGAACAAACAAAAGGCACAATAGGGACACAAAGGATAAATAAATAAATAAATAAATAAATAAATAAATAAATAAATAAATAAATAAATAAATAAATAAATATATATATATATATATATATATATATATATATATATATATATGTATATATATAGGGACAGGTTTAAAGGCCATGACTAAACAAAAATGGCTTAAATCACTTCTGACAGGATAATAGGGCTGGCACCCGACCCGGATCATAATTGTGCATCTGACCCGGCAGCATATTTGACCCAACACCGCATGGATGCTCCAACGGTTAGAATTTCAACAGGTGTCACATTTATTGTCATTGAAGCCACCATTGATGCCACCATTGATGAGAGAGAGTTAAAGCCTCAACGCCTCATTCATGACTCTTTATATTCTTGCCGTTAGCTTAGCTCCCCAAGGATGTCTCTTCATGTTGTTACCGTTAGGACCTAGCACAAATAGAACTTCCCTGAGCTGAGGAGGACACACCGTACTTTCTATACTGAGACTAGAAGCAATACAACTATTGTTACAACTATTGTTACTCTCTTATAGCATTATTATATTATTATTACCGGTAACGTTATTACCGTCATTGGTGTTTTCATTGAGAGCCTGAGTCCAATACTCAAGCAGGCTACAACACAACTCTTTTTCTCTTTCAACAGCAAGTTTGAAAGAATGGCGTCCCGCAGCTCCCACGGTTCTCGCAACGTGAACAATGACAACGCCTCAGGTGACCTTCGTGACATACTCACCAACAATCGCGGAGGGGACCTCCGAGAACATCTCAACAACGGGAGGCCCAGGGACCTTCGAGATCAACTCAACAATGGAGGAGACCTTCGAGACCAACTCAACAATGGAGGAGACCTCCGAGACCAACCCCACAATGGAGGGGCGAACCAAGTCATGAGCCTCCAGGCAACCATTCAGCAAGCAGTGACGGCGGCACTAAACCAAGTGGCGGTGGGACTGCAAGGCCAAGTGCCCCCGCCGCGGCCTCGGGAAATAGAGGTAGAATCCCCACGGAGAGTGGATGCCCAGGACGCAACCCGTGCCGCGAGGGACGCAGGGCGTCGCACTAGGACTGGGGGCCCGGGAGAGGGCACCCAAAGAAGCGGACCGGCCGGACGGCAACCTAGGCCCTCCCGCTCTGCCTTAGAACAGTTGGGACACGCGGCGCCCGCTCGGCAAAGGCCGGAATCGCGTGCCGAGGGGTCTTCCGCTAGAGGCCCTCGCCGACACGAGGAAAGAGAAGCTGAAAGATCGCCCACAGAAAGGATGGGCGAGTCTCGTGGGCCGGCCCCGCGCTGGCACGATGACGAGTCGGCCCCGCGTCGACACTTGGATGAGCGACGCTTCGATGAACCGGCCCCGCGTCAGCACTCGGCGGAGCGGCGCGTCGATGAGCCGGCTCCGCGTCGGCACTCAGCGGGCGAACGACGCGTTGGTGAGCGAGTTCCACACCGACACCTAGAGGGACGAAACGTCGAGGAACCAGCTCCGCGTCGACACTCAGATGGACGGCGCGCCGATGAACTAGCCCCACACATGGAGGAGCGGCATCCGGCCCCGCGCCGGCACCCTGACGAGTCGGCCCTAGTCGAAAGGCTGCAAAGAAAGATCGAGGAGCTAGCAAGAAGGGTGGAGGCACGGGAGCAGTCGCCGGAACCCGAGGTACGAATGGCAGCACCATTCTCCCCAAGTATCATGGAGGTACCTCTGCCGAGGGACTTCGGTTACCCGCCATCAAGGCGTACACGAGAGCCATGGACCCACGTGTCCACATGACTAGGTACAAGGACGCTATGGTAATGATTGGGGCAGGGGACGCCATCATGTGCCGAGCATTTTTGTCCACCCTGGATGGAACGGCCCAAGATTGGTTCAACACCATCCCGGACGGGTCGATCCAAAACTTTGGAGAGTTGTCCAAAAGCTTCCTAACGTACTTCTCGGGTAGCATACAGCGTAAGAAACCGTTCTCTCACCTCTGTGTGGTAAAGCAAGATAGAGGCGAGAGCCTAAAAAACTTCCTGATCAAATGGAAAAAGGAAGTCAATAATGTCTACGACTTCGACTCCAAGGCGGCGATCCCAATATTTATCCATGCCTTAAGATCAGGGTATTTCCACAAGCAGCTGAACGCCCACCACCCCCGCTCTTACGAAGATCTGATGAGGACGGCTAGCCGCTATACCGAAGCAGAGGACGTCGACAGGAAGAAGAAGGACGAAGAGGATGGTAGGAAAGGTGGGAAGCCTGGGAAAGCTGGTCCGCCCAGCCAGGCACCACTCTCGAACCACCCGACTGCAGGGAAGGGCCGAGACTACGAACGACCTCGCCTGGTCCCCTTGCGTAATTTAACTCCTCTTACCCATCCCGTCAGTGTCATTCTAAAGTAAGCTGAGGAGATGGGAATGGTAGAATTCCCCGAGGAGTGCATGAAGGTCTCCCCAAAGGCAGACCAAACAAAGTACTGCAGGTTTCATAGGCATGCCGGACACGATACATATGAGTGTCACGTTTTGAAGAGACAAATAGAAGACCTCATCCAGCAGGGCTACTTCCGACATTTCGTCAAGCGATCCAAGCAGCAGCAATAGCCGCAACACAATCCACCAAAAAATGTCTGGATGAATGAGGATGGCACCGAGCCGTCCACCTCAAACGCCAAAAAAAAGAGACCACGACCAAATATCTGAGCAGAGTGATAGCGAGAAAGAAATCGAGGTGGCGCCCAGACGACAAAAGAAGCATACCATACACTTTATCTATGGTGGATCCGCAGGGGGCGACACGCCCGCAGAAAGAAAAAAGTGGAGCCGACAGATATACGTGGGAGAAGTGGTGAGTCTTCCTAGAGAAAAGAAACAGAGACAGGAGGCCATCACCTTCTCTGATGATGACCTCCTAGAGGGCCCGCTACCCCATCGTGACGCCCTGGTGATTGAGGTGGACGTCAACGATGTCATTGTCCGCTGCATCTTAGTCGACACGGGAAGCTCAGTCAATGTGATGTATTACGATGCCTTCACCAAGTTAGGGATACCTAGGAACCAGCTCAAAGAAGTACGTACCCCACTCTCTGGATTTACGGGTGATTCAGTGGAGACGGAGGGGTCGGTGGCCTTACCAATGGAGATAGGCACGAGCCCTAACATTCGCAAACTTGACATGGAATTCATCGTGGTAAGACTCACTTGTGCGCACAACATCATTTTGGGGAGGCCGGCACTGGAGGACCTCAAGGCCATAGTGTCGGTGGAACACTTGTGTATGAAGTTCCCTACTCCGAATGGGATAGGGGTCGTCAGAGGAAACCAGCGAGCAGCGCGCAGTTGTTACGTAAAAGCATGCAAAAAGATTGGCGGAAAGAATCCACAAGTCCACACCATTTGCAAGGATGATCGATCGGGTACAGAATTCAGAAAATTTAATTAGATATTATCAGTAATACGTTGTAGTCG